TGCTTCTGTTAAGCTACTTCTAAGGGCAAACATTTCTGATTGTTTAAAATGAAAGGTTTCAGACTTAAAGTAATTCCAATGAATCCCCAAAGAATGTTCTCCTCCCAGCAAAAGCAGAGTCAGGTGGATTAGATCTACCCTTCCACCAAAAACAACACAGAAATGGTTTCTGAGATATCAGTCAATGAAAGACAGTGACCTCTAGACCAAAACAGAAAAGCTTTGTGATGTTGGCATAGACAAGGAATTGTTAGATACAACACCAAAAACATGATTCATGAAAGAAAAAATAATCAACTGAATTTTCTTAGAACTAAAAATCCCTGCTCTTCAAAAGACATTGATAAGAGAATGAAAAGATAAGCCACAGAGAGAAAATACTTGCAGGTTATCTGTCTTGTCAAGGAATTGTATCCAGAATATACAAAGAACTCTCAAAACTCAACAATCCAATTACAAGCAAACATCCTACTTTTTAAAAATGAGAAGCAGTTGAACAGATATTTCAGCAAAGAGGCACAGAGATGGTAAACACGCATAAGAAAAGACCATTAATCATGAGGGAAATGTAAATTAAAACCATAGGGAGACTTTGGGGCTTGCTTGGTGGCTCAGACAATAAAGAATCTGCTGCAATGCAAGAGACTCTGGGTTTGATCTCTCTGGGTCAGAAGATCCCCTGGAGAAGGAAATGTCTACCCACGCCAGTACTCTTGCCTGGGAAATCCTGTGGACAGAGGAGCCTGGCAAGCTACAGTCCATGGGGTCACAAAGAGGTGGACATGACTTAGTGACTAAACCAACCACTATTGTTATCTTCTCAACAACTCTATCCTGGAATAGAAAATGGTAACCCAGTCCAGTATTCTTGCCTGGAAAATTCCATGGACAGAGGAGCCTGGAGAGCTACAGTCACAAAGACGGGTCCTAAAGAGTCAGACACATGACCGAGCGACTAACACTTTCCTTCCAGGGAGACATCACCACACAGCTATTAGAATGGCTAAAACGAAAAAGACAAATGATTCTGCATGTCGGCAAGGGTGTGTGGCGATCTGTATTCACACACACTTCTTGAGGGAATGCACAACTATCCAGACACTCTGGAAAACAGTTACATACCTACCATATGACCCAGGTCTTCCACGGCTGCTAGTTATTCACTCAAGGGAAAGAAAAAAAAAGTCTCCATGCACAGCCATACATGACGTACAACTGTGTGTGTGTGCTCAGTCGCTAAGTCGTGTCCGACTCTTTGAAGCCCCATGGGCTGTAGCCCACTAGGCTCCTCTGTCCATGGCATTCTCCAGGCAAGAACACTGGAGTGGGTTGCCATGTCCTCCTCCAGGGGATTTTTCCAACTCAGGGATCGAACCCAGGTCTCCCGCATTGCAGGCGGATTCTTTACCAGCTGAGCTACCAGGGAAGCCCAACTTTCTCTGAAATTGTCCCTAATTTGGAAACAATCCAGATGTCCACCAATGGGTGGCGACCAAACTGTGGAATATCTTCACAGTGGGAGGTAAGAGGGCGATAAGTGCGAACGAAGCATTCTATATGGCAACAGCATGGACGAATCCCCAAATAATTATGTCACACGAAGGACGCCAGACACAACAGACTACATACTGTAACACTGTATAATCCCATGCATGTGAAACACTAACATATACCAACCAATCTACATTGCCAGAAAGCAATCCAGAAAGCAGCTGGGGAGGAGGAGGCAGCAGGATCAGTGATGGATAATCAACAAAGTCTACTGTGGCACAGGGAACTATATTCAATAGCCTGTGATAAAAGATAATGGAAATGAATATATATATATACACACACACATGTATAATGAAGCACTTTGCTGTATAGCAGAAATTAACACTGGTGTAAATCAAGTATACTTCAATTTTTTAAAAAGGCACAAGAAAACTTCTGTAGTGATGGATACGTCTGCTGTCTTGATTTCAATAATAGTTTCATGGGTGTATACATGTGCAAAACATCCCAAATGGTACGCTTTAGGTATGTTCAGCTTATTTTGTATCAATTTCACTGCAATAAAAAAATACTAAAAATATATTCATAGGAAGGACTGATGCCAAAGTTCCATTGCTTTGGTCACCTGATGTGAAGAGCCGATGCATTGCAAAAGATCTCGATGCTGGGAAGGCAAAAGCAAAAGGGAGTGGCCAAGGATAAGATGGAAGCATCACGGACTCAAAGGTCATGAATTTGAGCAAACTCTGGGAGACAGTGAAGGACAGAGGAGCCTAGCATGCTTCAGTCCACGGGGTGGCAAAGAGTCAGACACGACTGAGTGACTGAACAACAAGACGCTGATTTGCTTTGGGGAGATCTGGCAGAAAATCATCCTTTATGATTCAGACATTTGGCAACTGCTTCCTGAGTAGCCACTGGCAACCAGCTCACTGTGCTGGTGCTGAAAACAAGTCAGCAGAGGACAGCCTGACATCCTGACTACTGCTGTGGCCTCCGGGGGTTTTCACCATCCCACTGTGCACTGAGGTTCCCAAAGGCACTGAGATTCCTTAAGGCTGTAGATACACAAGTTTTAACTTCTGTTGTTGAGCCTCATTATATGCAAACTGCTTCAAAGTGTATCATCTTTTTCACGAGATCAGTGAAAGAAAGTGAAGTCGCTCAGTCGTGTTCGACTCTTAGCGAGCCCATGGACCGCAGCCTACCAGGTTCCTCCATCCACGAGATTACATGATGCCAATTACACACTCATTTTACAACTGTACTTGTGCCTGCCCAATCGTTTGCACGAATAACACAATTCATCAAGAAAGACTCACGCCTTCTGCTCCCTGGCCCCCTGCCCCCAGCCCAGGTCTGTTAGGACAAACAGTGGCTGAAAATGCCCACCCTGGCAAGCCACCACAGTAACTATCCGCATGAGTTGTTTTACAACAGGAGGTCCTGGTAAGGAACACGGAACTCACAAGCCACCACCAACTGGAAGCATTTGGGAAAGGTCAAAAGGAGATGCCACATGTCCTAACAACCTTCCAGAATCCTCCTTGCCGGAATCCACCTTGGCTGAATGAGCTGCATGCCACCAGGAAGGACCCTGAGTCAGAATAAAGAATAACTGGCCAGAGACAACCTGGGAACTAACCCCATCACTATAAAACCCAAGATTTTGAGCAATGCCTTAGAGCAGTCCTCCTGGGTTCCCTTACCCTCTTGCTCTCCACCCAGGCGCCCCTTCCCAATAAAGTCTCTTGCTTTGTCAGCATGTGTGTCTCTTTGGATAATTCATTTCTGAGTGTGAGACAAGAGCCCACTCTCAATCCTGTAAGTAAGTAAGTAAGGAAGTGTTAGTTGCTCAGTTGTGCCCGACTCTTTACGACCCCATGGGCTGCAGCCCACCAGGCTCCTCTGTCCATGAGATTTTCTAGGCAAGGATACTAGAGTGGGTTGCCGTTTCCTTCTCCAGGGGATCTTCTCAACCCAGGGATCGAACCCAGGTCTCCTGCACTGCAGGCGGATTCTTTACTGACTGAGCTACAAGGGAAGCCCCTCGATCCTGGAAGGGGTCCCCCTTTCTGCAACAGCTCCACTAAGCAAGACTTTCAAGAAAACCAACAGGAGAGAGTAGCAATGCTCCTGATTCTTGGGTGGATCATCCTGCCTCATGCACTACTTTCCTTTACTTCCTTTTGTGAGAGTTGTGGAGAGCACTGTTGGCTGTGTTCCCCAAAGTCTTGAAGCCCATCATTTATTATCCCTGAGATTTTCCATTAAGTCATGGGGCCACTGATAACTAGCCAAACTATCTATCACTGAATTCACCTTGTGGGAATTTGACTCTTATCATGTGAAATGTTTAGAGAAAGTAAAGGCCAGTGTGATATGCACTGGGTCTTCAGTGTAAAAACCCTGGAAAGCAACACTCTTTTATCCACCAACCCCAAAAGACATACCATTCCAGTGGCATAAACAAATCTCTAAAGGATGAACCATTATTTCAGTAGTAACATAATTATAATACTGGTCATCAGGCCTGTCAACATTGTCCTCAACAACACAGAAATACTTGAAAAAGGACTTCTTATCCAAATCACATGGACTGAACTTGGGCAATGAATTTTCCAAAAGAAAGCAAATATAAAAAACGTTAAATTAGCATGACCGTGTACAACATTTTTTGAACCAGAACTGAAGAAACTGCTTGCAAAATGAAATGAGAAGCACATTTTAAGTGGCATGACAAACCAAGTTATCCGAATCAGTATTTTGTAGAAAGTGCTAACACCTTGACTACATCTGTAATTCAGTAAATCAGAAACAAGCTCAAGAGCTTACTTTCCATATTTACACAAGACAAGAAGGGTGACTCCTATGAAGAATAGTGAATATAAGATTTCTGAATCTGGCAAAGAATGAGATGATCCCAGCTGGCCCGAGACCACTAATAATGTTTTTGAAAGATTGGGTTATTAGATGCACAGTTGTAGAAGATGGATATTATTTATGCAATGCTAAAGCAAACATTCCCATTAACCAAACATTTCCTAAATTGCCAGCAGAAATGAGAAACTTGATCTGACACCTGTGGGAAATCTGAGACCCTCCTCTGGCCCGGAGCTCAGGGTTTTGCCACGATGGCGCACATTTCTCTTATACTCTGCTCAGGCGGGGAAAGGGCCACAGCTTTGACTTTAAATGAAGTTTGTTTCAAAGGTATTCTGAAAAGAATAATTTTCTTCCTAATCAGCCTTTTTGTTTTTAATTAAAAATGTTGGGATCCTAGTCCCCTGACCAGTAATGGAACTGTACTGGAAGTACGGAGTCTTAGTCACTGGATTGACGGGGAAGTCCCCTAATCAGTTTTTAAACTCTCGTTGCCTCCCGTGGATAACATACCCCTATTCTTCCCAAAGCCTCAAGAACGTTCTCAGCTCTCCAGTTTCTCTGGGTCCACAGTGTGTGGCTGTGGATCCTTCCTTTGACAGATGCCAGGAGGCTCTACTTACGTCATGCATGGAGTCCAGAAGCTTGGTCAGTTGGTAGAACCTCTGCCAGCTCTGCCCAGAATTGTTGGGACACTTCGTTACCATCTTTCTCAGCTCCTTGATGTAATTTGTCCTCATTTCTTCAAACGCAGCCTGGCTTTTGAGGCCATCCTTTGGAACTGTGGTGAAGGAATACAGACATGTTAAGGTCTCAAAACGGAAAACAGCTTTAGCATCTTCGTGGTTCAACGGCTTGGACTATTTTGAGGTCAGGAGGCTCACACTTTGAGACTGACACTGCATCTTGCGTCTTGCATTTATGAATAAGTGTGTGTGTGCTCAGTTGTTCAGTCGTGTCTGACTCTGTGTGACCCCACAGACTGCAGCCTGCCAGGCTGCTCTTCCTCTGTCCATGGGATTTTTCTGGCCAGCATTCTGGAGTGGGCTGCCAGTTCCTTCTCTGGGGGATCTTCCTGACCCAGGGATCGAACCTGCGTTTCCTGCGTCTCCTGTATTGCAGGAGGATTCTTTACCACTGAGCCACGGGGGAGTCCTTTATGAGTAAATATGGCAGCTAAATAACGGTTAACCTCTGTACACACATATACGAAAGAGTAACTGGGTTAGCAGGGGTATGTTAGAATACACTTTGTTTATATTAACTTGCTTAATGTTGACATCAATCTTAAGACATAGTCATTATATTATTCTCATTTCACAGATGTGGAAACTGAAGACTGGAGGTTTAATCACTAGCCCAAGGACACAGTAAATACATGGCAGAGAAAGAGCAGAAACCGAGGTCTGTTTCCAATGTCTGTCTCTTAACCACAATGCTACACTATCCTGTGGCCTGTCATCAAAGTTTTTATGAACCCTAACTTGCCAATACCTCAGATGTAGGAAAATATACTTTGATTTTTCAGGACAACTGGAAGAAACACAGACAATCTAAGCTGGGGCTGAAATCAGAAATTCAAGTTCAAATGTCAAAAGACACTTGGGGAAACTGGCTGTCTATCAGGGAAGGACATGCTGCAAAGAAGCACTTCCTATTCTCTTTGCTCTAAGGTCACATGACCACTGAGGCAGTATCACGTGACCACCCAGACAGCCTGCTGGCAGGTCTGTGCCCAGATTTGTGTGTGTGATGGATAACAGGACAATACTCTACAGCAAAACAAGATCAAAAACTTCGGAAGGGAAGAAATCACGTTCATCTTTATCTTCAATAAGAGAAAATTAAGAAGTATGTTTTTTTCTTTCTTTGTATAGAGCGTCTTTGTGTGTGTGTGTCTGCATGCTTATGTCAGACTTTTGCAATCCCATGGACTGTAGCTTCCCAGGCTCCTCTGTCCATGGAATTCTCAGGCAAGAATAATGGAGTGCGGTGCCATTTCTTTCTCCAGGGGATCTTCCCAACCCAGGGATTGAACCCAGGTCTCCTGCATTGCAGACAGATTCTTTACCATCTGAGCCACCAGGGAAGCTCTTTAGAGTTGCTAGTTTTTTCTAATTAAATGAAAAACATTTCATTGAAAATAATACTTTGAAATTCAGCACCTGTAAGCATAATGAGTGCTTCTGGGACTGCAAAGGAGATGCTCTTTCCCAGGACACACGTGAGCACAGTTTATGGAGATAGGAAGCAACCTGTGCCTACATTCTGGGAGGAGATTTAGGGCGAAGTATAAACTACAGATGCTCCCTTTGAAATCTACTTACATGTTTGCTTTTGTTCATTACAGCCAATAAGTACTTATGCTTTAACTCTGAAAAATAAAGTCACTGAGAACTTTCACTTTTGGAAGATGAAGATGAGAAAAATTCACCTTGTGATATTAATAGTCTGAGTATGACATTGCTCTTTCATTTCTCAATTGCACATGCTATCTGCTAATTTATCATAACTGGTATCAATAAAAATTCACTTGGGTCATCAGCTCTTTAGAACAGCTAAGTATGTTTTTGAGTGTTACATGTAACTCTGGGAGTCAAGAATATCACTGCTCCCAAAGAAACCCTGTTGTCCTATATAAAGATATGGATTATCTTGCAAATTAACTTCACACATGATGTTAATAACCTCCTTGAGTTTTAATTGTTGAGGCTTTTGATTTGTGGTTTATCTTAACTCTATTTTTATGGGGAAAAAATAAATCCCTTGTAGGCACTGCATACATTCCTGAGGTTGCCACAATATTAGTTGTGGTTTCAAATATTTGACATTCACACTTAGAATTAAATGTCATTCATTATGTAACAGTTTTTTTGCTTTCAAATTAAACCCTTGTTTTAAAAGTATTTAAAAAAACACAAAGAAGGATCGTAATAAGTAGAATGTTAACTGTGAATCTATAGATGCGCTTTCTACCAAAATTTTAAGGTTAACCCAAAACTTTATAAAAGAAACTATTGAGTTTATATATAAATGCTTTCACAGCTCACCTGTTGATACACATTTCTTTTTTAAGTTTCAAAGTGTTATGGAGTAAACCTTTCATTTTTCAATACAGATACTTATGGATATTACACATTTAAAAAATTACCTAAAATTAGAATGAAGTGAGTACATTTCATGACTCTATTTCAGTGTATTTGGTGTAGCTACTGAGATTCACCAAAAGCTTTCATATTTCTGACAGTTGTGTTATCAAAAATTCTCAAGATTATGAACAACTTGTGTCAAATATTACTTGTGTTTTACTGCTGTGACTGAAATATATTGTACCATTTTCCCAGCCAGATATTTCAGAAGTTGAAACAGACCCACAAATAAAAGAGAACTTAGGCAAAACCTCAAAATTTGGAGGTCTGCCTAGATTTTCTGAATTTACTTATTAAATGCAGCAGGGCTTCTGGAAATCATCCAGAGTCTATGGGCTGGAGAAGAGCAAAGAGACAGCTGGGTGGGAAGCTGGTTTGCTTTCCTGGGTGAGCAAAAAGAACATGATCTTCTTGATGTCACAGCTTAACTTTCCTCATACACTGGACATCAGGTGTATAATGTAAACTTCTAAATAAGAAAAAATTTTCATACATTCTATCACAGATTAGCAAAATAAGCTTACTAAAGCCTGAAGTTTTCATGATTTATACAATTCTTTACTTCTGTTCTCCTGGTTTCTTATTTTGCTTTTTTCTGCATCAACAAAAACCAGCCTTCAATGTACTCAATTACCTGGAAGCTAATAAATTAATTTGGGGAGCTAAATGATATCAGAATTGATTGTAAGGTTGACTGATTAAATGGATGTAAAAGGACAAGACACCAGTAACAATTGAGTGGCCAATGTTTATAAAGGATTATTATCATGTACATTTTTAGAAAAAAATTTAAATTCTATCACCCATCTGATATATTTTTTTCCTTTTCTCTTTTTATAAATTTCTTCTAATGGTTAATGATATAGCTTGGAAAGGGGACTAAAATCACTGTTGCTGAATTTAAAGAGTACATTTCCAGGGAATTCCCGGGCAGTCCAGAGGTTAGGATTCTGGGCTTTCACAGCTGAGGGCACAGGTTCAATCCCTGGGCGGAGAACTAAAAGTACATTTCCCAAGTTATGTTCTAGAAAGGATAAGCTGGGAGCCTCAGACACCTTGAAGAACAACAGAGCAGGGAGAAGAGCCTGGTTCTCCCGAGCCTGTGGACGAAGGACTGCAGAGACAAGCTCCTGAATGTGGGCTGAGCGTATAGTGAGGAAGGGCGGGTACTGAGGAGTGGTTCGGCCTGCGGTAAGCTGGGGAGAGCATGGGCTGCCCTGTGCAATCAAAGTCCACGAAAATCAAACAAGACGAAAGGCCGAAAGCAACCTGAAAAGCCCTGCCAGCCAAGCGAAACACAGCTGAGACTCGCTGACCCCACCGCCCTCCCAGGCTGCTGGAGTCCAGACCAGCCGGCTCACCCTCCCCTCTCCCTGCGGCTGTCCCCTGCTGCCAGCCTGCTTTCCACCCTTGCATCCAGCTGAAAGGGAAGGCCAAAGCCCTGAGTCTGAGTCCTAATTCACCAAGGAGGCTGCACACGTTCACACCTGCTTGCCTCTGTCTTGTCCACTTTAGACAAGCTACCAATCTTGCAGCGTTAAATTAGGCAATAGGTGGAAAAACTTTGGAAACTGAGAGACGCTAATGTGTGTAGAGCAGATATTGATCCAATTGGCCCCTGGCTCCCCGCTTCCTGTCCTGCCTGGTAAAGGCTTCACTGTTCCCCAGCCCCAATCCCTCCGTGCTGGGATCATCATCTTTTCTTCTCCATTCTATCCTCAATGCTTGGCTGCTCATGCCACTCACTTCCAAATGGCCCCACTGAAAACCCTTCACCCAGGCCACTGATTCCTGGGCCAAGGGGGGCGCTGGGCATGACTTAGATGCTCTTTTCAGCTTCCAGGGGGTCATTCGACAGCCTCTGCTCCTTTGAAGTTGGTGCCACCCACCCTAGTGTCCTGGCACCCAGGACATTTCCCCGTTTCTTCAGTGGTCCCGGCACTCAGTTCCGAGATTTCCTCTCTATCCTGTCTCCTGCCATCATCCCAGACTCACCCTCGTCTGATGAGAGCTTCCTCAAATTCCTTCCCCTCTGTTTGGAAAGGCTTGTGCCGTTGTCTGGGAAAGAAGCGTTTAGCACCCTTGCCAAGGCTAATCCTGCCTCCTCGTCTCTCCTGGCTCCTTCTACCATCGAGTTCTTTCCTCTCATGCTTGGTTCCAGACGCCCAAAGCAGCATCCCATCAATCTGCAAGTCCCCAGCCGTCTGGCACCTGCCTGATGCCGAATGGTCAACCCCAGGAGGCTTCTGCCAGTATTCTTGGCTTCCATGGGAAGCTGTGTGTGTCATGCCTCCGGGAAGCCTCCAACTCTTGGCTGCTCCTCTGGCTCCCTGACGGTTATGCCCTGTCCCTCAGCGCGCCACCCTCCTTTCAAGCACCTCAGTGGATCTCCCCTCTTCTTCCTGAGTCTCGGCACCCCCACTTGCCATTGTACTTTCCTATTCTGCAAGGGTCATGTCAAGCTTGTATCTCAATACCCAAATCTGTTTCCTGAGTTCTGGTCCCCCAGTTTCCCCCTTTTCAGGCCCCTCGCTGAGGCTATGCACGCGCAGTCGCTCAGTCGTGTCCGACTCTTTGCGACCCCATGGACTGAAGCCCGCCAGGCTCCTCTGTCCATCAGATTCTCCAGGCAAGAACACTGGAGTGGGTTGCCATAACATCCTCCAGGGGATCTTCCTGACCCAGGGATGGAACTCACATCTCCTGTATCTCCTGCATTGGCAAGTGGGTTCTTTATCCCTCAGCCACCTGGAGAAGTCATTTTACACTCCATAAAATCTGCTCCAATCCCAACACGAATGCACTTCTCTTCATAGCATCACTACCACCTCACAATCATCTCTGCCTTCAAAACCCCAGGTTATTTCTGATCCAGACTATTTTGCATCCCCCTTCTCGTCAAGGCTGACTCTGCAGTGTGTCTTGAATGCATCTGGTGCTGCCAGCAAGCTACCCACCACCATTAAGAAAGTGAAAGTGTAGTCGCTCAGTCATGTCTGACTCTTCTTCGTGACCCCGTGGACCATAGCCCGCCAGACTCCTCTGTCCGTGGGATTTCCCAGGCAAGAATACACCATTATTCAGGCTGTTATTTCAGCAGCCTCACAGCAGGCCTCTGGGCTCCCAGTCTGGCTCAAATCTCTGTCTGACTTGGCCTCTCTCTCTCCTCATTCTATTCCCTTTCCTCCAGTCTATCTACTGCCAGACACATCTTCATGAAGCCACGAAGGACCCCTTTGGCCATGTCAGCCCACTGCTCAGAGCCTTCTGGACCACACTTCCCTGCTTGCCTAATAGACATCAGATGTCTTCAACAGGTGGGAATCTTCTGGTTCAATCTACAGGGCAACCATGCCTCCCCAGTCCAATAGTACCTGATATGCCTTGAAAAATTAGTGGATACATAAATGAGATAAAAAATGAAAATCATAAACAGGCAAAACAACTTCCCAGAGCTAAGCACTATTATGTGGGTCTGCTTCCCACCCCACCATGCTCTCTCATGCTCCCCAGCAGGAAGGTCAGCTCATGCCTCGGACTCAATCCCTCACCTCGGCAAAAAGCTCTCTTGAGATGAAGCTTCATCAAGAATCCTCTGATGCCAAGAAGTGAGCATGTGCTTCCCTCCTCTGAGCCCCCAGGACAGTCTTTATCATGGCAGACAATCACCTTCCACAGGGTATTAAAATAACCTTGAATTTATCTTACGGGAGATAGTGAAGGACAGGGAAGACTGGCATGCTGCAGTTCACGGGGTCGGAAAGAATCGGACGTGACTCAGCAACTGAACAACAAAAACAAAAACTCCCCGAGGGTTGAGGCTGCCCCTCATTCATTCTGGTAGGTCCTGAGCTGCCCAGTCCCACCGTACACGTAACAGACACTTCACGAATCCTCAGTGGCCGGATGAATGAAGGGATCAAGGCAGGGGCATCACCTAAGGCTTCTAACTCTGCAAGTAACTTAATTCATCCTGCACCAAAGCCCTCTGCTCACCTCCTCTTACTGTTTTTTTTTTTTTTAATATACTGACTACCTGGCCCTAGAAGTAGGCTAGTCTCCTAAAGGGAAGACAATGTGACAGTGTAAAAAAGGGCTGGCTGGACATCAATTTACTTGTGCTCAGCAGCAGCAACACTTTCATTACGGTGTATTCCTCGAAGGTGAGCTGCAGCCGGACGAACTGAAGGCTGATCTGGTGCATCCCCTGGCAGAGCTCATACATGGCAGACTGGTGCATCTTCTCTCTGCAAAGGAAAAGCAAAGATGTCTGAGAATGGAAGGCCCAAGACCAGACCCAGACCAGCAGCCCCAGGGAGCCCACGGAGAAATCTGAGTCTGAGTTACGCCTTTGGCTTTAATGCAGAGCAGACATGTATTTGCAAGAGAAGTCAGCTGCCTAGCATGGTGACTGGTAAACTGCCTCTTGACCAATCTAGCCAGGCTGTTTATTCGTCCCCTGGGAGAATGTCAGAAGCACCGAAACCAACCTTTTTCAAAGCGTGCCATGATTCCACTTTACATCAAGAGTGATAACATGTGATGGTGCTGTGTGCGATCCTGAGATCGTCCATGGAGTGGAGAAGCTGTTGTGACGTGGGGTGAAGCCCAGAGATTCCAAGCACTTACTGCGTGGAAGAGCTGTGTTAGATGCTATGGACACATGACAACGATGACCAGTCTTACTTCCACATGGACCTCCATTACCCTCCCATAGAGGTCATGAAATGTGCCTGCCAACGCTTTGCAGCAACACATTTAAAAAGAAAAACCAGGCTCTTCCCTGGAAGTTCAGTGGTTAAGACTTCACATTCCAATGCAGTGGATGTAGGTAAAATCCCTGGTCAGAAAGCTAAGATTCCCACATGCCTTATGGCCAAAAAAACAAAACATAAAACAGAAGCAATCCTGTAACAAATCTAATAAAGACTTAAAAAAAGAAAGAGAAAGTGAATTTTGAAAAGTAAAGGGAAATCAGACAACATTTAAAAAGATTCCTCAAATGGAATCTCTCTGGTACAGAAGAAGATGATCTGGGAATCTGTGTGAAACATACACATGTCCATTCAACCAACCAACAGAGCCGATCTATATGCCAAAACCCAAGTGCTTCCATAAAAATCCACAAGATATTACAACAGAAGTCATGATTATCTCTTTCCGTGAGAAGGCAGGCAGGCATCGTTTAACTGTTCAGATGTTTTTCCTCAAAGTGATAAATCTTCCGGGAGGCCCTGGGTGAGTAAGTTATGATGACCAGAAAGCAATGAGTGAAAAAGAGACGACTAGAGAGAAACAGGCCTGCTGACTCAGGCCACAGACACAGAGGAGCTGACGATGGCTGATCCACGTCTATGAGTGATGGAACGCAGGCGAGTGTCTGTGGCAAAGCCATCTTGGGTACCTCTTCCAGGATGCACTCTTGGGTTCCACTGGCAAAATTCTCTCTTTTCTCAAGTCTCAAAGCCATTTGTAAAAATCTCATCATAGAACACAGAGCATTTTTCTTGGTATTACTGCTATATGTTTTTCTATCCCCGTAATAAGCTAGGAGCTATTTTTACCATTAAAAATTAAAAAAAAATTTTTTTTAATTTACAAAATTTTAAATTTAATTTAAAATTTTAAAATTCATATTAAAAATGCAGCATGTTGGATATTATTTCCCCTACCAGGGATCAACCCTGTGACCTTTGCATTGGGAGCACAAAGTCTTAACCACTGGACTGCCAGGGAAATCCCTACATTTACTTTCTAATTGAAGCATAGCTGATTTACAATGCTGGCCTAATTTCTGCTCTACAGCAAAGTGACTCAGTTATTTATATTTATATATATGTGCACATTCTTTTTCATCATGGTTCATTGTGGGATATGGAATACAGTTCCCGGTGCTACAGTAGGACCTTGTGGTTTATCCATTCTATACATAATGCTTTGCATCTGCTAATCCCAAACTTCCAATCCTTCCCCACCCACCCGCCTTGGCAACTACAAGTCTATTCTCTATATCTATGTGTCTGTTTTTGTTTCATAGATAGGTTCACTTACGTCATATTTTAGATCCCGTATATAAGTGATATCACTTGGTATTTGTCTTTCAGGGAGCTATTTCTAATTAAGGAAATATTTTCAAAATACTTGCACACGCATCCAAACTCAAACACACACACACAAATAGCGGGAGACTATGAATCCACCATGAAGAATTAAGAATGCAAATATATGCTAATATCTTTGCCATACTTATTTCAGATCTTTAAAAAGTGAACACAGCCTAGTTAAGTCCTGCCTAGTTCACTCCTTGTCCCCATTCATCTTCCTCATTCAAGAAGGGAAACACCCACCTTGGGAGATTCCCATTTCCTCTCAGATATGTACACTTTACACACATGTATGTATTCAGAAAAACAGCACCCAGTACCACTCTATTTTATGTAAATTTTAAATTAGATATGCACATCCTTCTGCAAGTTATTTTTATTCACTGTTGTGATTCTGCGATGTATCTGTTTTAATACAGGTAACTCCAAGCAAAGTCATTTTCTCTGCAGCGGCTTTCATCTGTCTGAACACACCACAGTTTACTAATCCTTTCCACTCCGGAAGGACACCGGGGTTGCTTCCGCTTTATGGCTATTACAGATGAGGCCCCAGGGACATCCTTGGGTATTTCTCTAGGCTATAGGACGAAAATAGAACTGCTGAGTCATGGATGTGCGCACAGCTGCTGCTTTCATCCAACCAGGAGGAGATGAGATGTCCTTTTGTTCCAAGTCCGGCCAACACTCGTCATTAACCCGTTTGAATTGTTTTTGCTACTTGATGAGGGCTGAAAGGTTAGCCCCACTATTGCCTTTCTTTGCATGGTTATGATCACCAGCAGGCTGAACATTTTTCAAATGCTTTTTGATCATTTGGGTTTCTTCCTTTGCTTTTCATATCTTTAAATACTTTAAGCTTTTTTCTCCTTCTATCACCAATTACCATCTTTATTAATAATTTTTTGCCTTATAATTTCTGTCTGATATTAATATTGTTTCTTCCTTATTCCCTCCCTCTCTTCCTTTCACTCTCTCTCTAGAATTAGCATAAAGAAATCTAAAGCCTTTAGAACTGGACTTCTCTAGTGGACCAGTGGTAAGGACGCTGCGCTCTCACTGCGAGGGCCCAGGCTCCATCCCTGGTCAGGGAACTAGGATTCTATAAGCCCTGTGGTGCAGTCAAAGGGGGAAAAAAACAGAATTTGCCTGGAATGCCCTTTAAAAAAAAATCCCTTGTTTACAAAGTTCCCATGTAATTATGTTTCACACATGTTGCTTATAAACAGCAAAAAGCTTAATTTTAAAAGTCTGAGAGTCTCTGTATTACAATAGCTTGGTTTAATCTGTTTTCATTTATCATGATTATTAATTGATTTGGAATTTCTTCCTACCATTTTAACTTCCTCTCCTCCTTTCCTTCTTTCTACTTTGCTTCCTTTTATTAAATGGGTCCAGCTTAAAAAAAAAATCTCTTTGCTCATCTACTGGATGTAGAAGGTTCACATTCTATTTTTACTCTTAATTAAGTTATGAACTTGCATATTTAAAAATATAAAGTTAATCAACAGCTTTTCCACGAGGAACAGAAAAAATGTAGAGTACTTTATCTTTGGTCTACTGCTTCCCATTTTCACGGTATCGCTCTTTAGTATTTAAACTTCCACTTGTTTTCAAATTACTGCTGAGGTCTCTCTCTCTTACATCCACACCTCATGTCTGTTTAGAGTTACAAATGTATTTCGTTGATCACCGCTGTTAACTGCACTTCACTCCTTACTACTGGGTTCAATTTCTTATTGAAGAATATATATACATATATAATTAAAATTCTGCAGCAGTCAGTCACTGAATGTTGAAATCTTTCAGTCTCGCCATGCCTGAAAGTGTTTTTATTTCACCTGCATTCTGGAATGATAGTTTAACACGTTATAGATTTCTGGTGTGACAGGCAACCTCCTTCAGTACTTTGAAGATAGTATTCCACTACACCTGGATCCTCACCACCACTTTTGGGAAATATCTTGTCAGTCTGTCTTTCTCTTATAGGTAGAGAACTAGTACTTTCTCTTGGTAGCTTAATAAAAACTTGCTCTGTTTAGTTTTGATGCCTGCAGTTTCAATATGAGGAACTGAAGTATACACTTATTTTTACACCTCTTGCTCAGGATTCGGCGTCCTTATTTGATTTGAAGATGCAGTTATTTCTTCAGTTCTGAAATGTTCTTAGACATTGTTTCTTCAAATACCACCCCCAGCCCACCTATTTTTCCTTTTTGAACTCCTACTAGTGGGTTAGACCTTTTCATTGAATCTTCTGCATTAACCACCGTTTCCTATTTCCTATCTTCTCATCTCTTCACAGTGCGTCCCAGGTGGCTCAGTGGTAAAGAACCCGCCTGCCAATGCAGGACACAAAAGAGATGTGGGTTTGACCCCTGGGTCGGGAAGATCCCCTGGAGGAGGGCATGGCAGCCCACTCAAGTATTCTTGCCTGGAGAGTCCAATGGGCAGAGGAGCCTGGTGGGCTATGGACCAAAGGGTCACAAAGAGTCAGACATGACTGAAGCGATTTAGTACACACACCCGCATGGCATTCTAGGTGATTTTCTCATCTATTTTTCTACTATTTTTTTTCTATGTAATCTGTTTAATGTCTATAGTGTTTTGATTTTAATGTTTTTCATGTCCTGCGCTTGCGTGCTGAATTGTGTCTGACTCTTTGCGACCCCACGGACTGGAGCCTTCCAGGCTCCTCAGTCCATGGGATTTCCCAGGCAAGAATATTAGAGCACACTGCCATTTCCTCCTTTAGAAATGGCATGCTAGGTGCCTAGAAACGCTTGATTTAGTTTTTCCTCAAACATTTCTGTTATTTTCCATGAGATACTTCTTACTTTATGGTTATTATATCTCCTTTCTCTAAATTATACCTTATCTATTACATCTGTAACTACTTTCAACATGTTTATTTTATAGTTGGTTTAAAATGTTTTAAATTCATTTTTGGGGGGATACTCATAAGCCTGTCCAGCATGTTTTATTATTTAGGCATATACTGTTTTCTAGGTGAATCCCAGGGCACTGTCTTGTGGGAGGGACTCTACAGGAAGTTTTAGCATTTATAGCTATCAGGGGTACAAGCATTTCACTTGATCTGGACCAGTTTTGATGCTAAATTTTCAACTTAATTGCTTTTTGCAAGA